GCTCAAATTTGAAGGAAATCAGCAAAGCAAACTATCTCAATGCCACCAATGGCATCCACCAAACTCTCCTCAATGGTTCAAGAGGATTCGGTTAGGTGCACTCTGCCCAGCTCAAAGACGACCGCTTTTTAGCCGTCAAGAAACTTATTCAAGTCATCGGGTATGGAGACCGTGAATCACTAACAGAGATGAAAACAACTGAAAAAATAAAGAACCAAAATCTCACATCGTTTCTAGGTTACCAGAAAGTCTGAGAACAAGTTTCTTGATTAGTAAATGAAAGTTGAAAGATTGGAAGATGTTGCCCACCGTCGGAACAAGACATAAATAGAACTATTTATATGTGATAATTTTAGTCATAGGATCTATAGAAATGTCAAAATAGTCCCCATGTTATTTAAATTGGGACAGAAATAGTCCTCATGTAGCACTATGAGGACTATTTTGACACTTGTAAAAAATACCCCATGTGAATATCGAGGATGAATGCACTTCACCGAGAAAATATATGAATTTTACCAATATTTTAATATTTTTATGAGGAATTTAATTTGTTGGCATATCTTCCAAATATTTGAATTTCTTATACCGTCAAAATTTTTATCTTTCTAGCATAATAATTATATCAATTAACGAATACTAATGCACTGTAATTACCCTAAACCCTAAACAAAATATTCTGTTTGTTTCTTGTTAAAGAAATAACAATTAAGGTTTTTTTCCTAGTTGTCTTTACCTATAAACTCTATCGATTAATCAAAATCCTCAAAGGACAAATTTGAGCAATAACTACAGTTAAATTAGGTTAAGGATGGGACAATATGTTGTTTGGATAGCAATCAGACTGGGCAATATTCATTTGAGTTTTGATTCTAAATTGCTTGGTTATGAATCTCTTGAAATCTGAAGGTCATCGTCACGAAAAAATATTGCATCCAGAGTCCGGAAAACAGACGCGATGAACGGATCTCGCGGACAATTTTTTTTGTCTGATGCATCTCGCACGTGATCCGTGCATCGCGTTCGTTGTTCAGACACATCTTTGTGTCTGGACTTCAGGCACAATATGTTTTCAATCTTCACATGATGTATTTTTTTTATAAAAAAAGTGAAAATATTGATGTTTTTTTAATGTGATATGAAAGATTTTTGAGGTATAAGCATAAAAAGTACAATTTAGATCATGCAAAATATGTAAATACATTGGAATAGGGTGGCATGTATGTAAATGCCTCTATTTTTTAATATTCAAGAGGACCAACTAGTCAACTACCATAAATAAAAGGCTTTATTGATGCCATTCAACATGTCATTTTGTTGGCTTGGTTCCCACACAAAGACAACCTTGGTCTCCTCACTCAAATCATTTCACCAAGTGGCTGAATCTTTAGCTTTTCACCTTAGAGTTCAAACTTTCACAAAACATAACCATTCATTTTTTACCATTAGAAAGTTAATGTTGCCATACTTATTTTTTTTAAAATGTAGGGTATTTTATTTATTTTATCTCATACTAAGGTTAAATCCAGCCTATATTAAAAAGCTTTTTTTATTGTCCAAGTGTTATATTAAAGATCATTGTTTCAGTAAGTTTTGGAAGAGAGCTTAACTACTAAAACTTTATTCTTTTACTTAACATGGAGAGCATATATTTTGTCGCTTGACATTATAATATCAATGAATCTTCTATTAATGTTATTTCAAGGTATTCTTTGAATAAGTAATGTTCCAGGTTTAAATTAAAGATTTTTTCAGGACCCTGATTTTTTTAAGTTTATAAATAAACCAACTGTCTTGATAAGACGAACTCGATGATATCAAAATTGGTCCAATCCCAGTTCAAACATGTTCGCATCATGTCATTAAAGCCTATTTGGAGATTTTAGATCGTCAATTGAACGGTCAAATGAACTCTAAATTTGACATAGTTATAGTCAAATCAAGCGCCCCGACGAGAGGAATCCAACGAGCCTAAGCTCCTTTAATTTTGATGTCATTATGACCCTCAAATCATTTTTTAAAAAACTAATATTAAAGGAGATCAATACCAGTAGCTCGATCAAGTGATTATGAGAGTTGTTTACCAAATGACCAAATTATCCCTACCCAAGTGGCTATAAATATACTCTCTCTTTTCATTCGAAAAAAGGGAGGAGAATGAGTCAAATTTCAATATTGTTCTGGACTGAAGAACCGACAATAACTTCCGACCTCTATAATCATCGACTACCATTGACCAATAATCATAGGCTGCCATCCACCATAGTCCACCACTCGACCACCCCCTACTCACTATCGTTTGCAAACTCTATTGTGTAACGATTATTCTCGAATATTATGTAATAAAGTATTATGAATATGATTTTGTGAAATATTATGAATGTGACATAACACAGTATCCTAATGAATATATTGTAACAAAATATCTCAAATTCGATTTAATATTTAATGTCGCATTATAGATTCCACAAAAATTACTTACAACCACTATATTCAAAGTTGCAAATTTCTGGCCATATCTGTAGCCTTGACTGCTGTCGTTAGCATCCGTGGAAAGAATGTCTGGCAGCCGCAGCCTTTGACCGTATCTTGAACAGTCATTATTTAACCGGGTCATAACTTTTGCCTGGTTCTTTTTATTTTAATATTATCGAAATTAATTTAAAAAAATAGCTATTTATTTTTAAAAAGTTAGTTAAGTAACGAACTTCACAAATATATTTATAATATTTATATCTTTCGAATCTTTTATATCTCATTATAAACATAATTATTCTAATTAAAAAAACACATATTTTATAAATATATAAAATGCCATATATATTTTTATTTGAATCACAATTCCCAAAACATTTATATATATATATATATATATATATATACTCAGACATTGATATTTATGCATTTTTTATGTTATTTTTATTCATTTCTTATCTTATAAGTACAAACGCAATTGAATGTCGCATGAGATTGAGAAATACACAACATATTAAACATATTAGTCATTACTTTCATATTGAAATAATTCCATTTTTATATTTAAAATGAAATATTAATAAAAATATTAAATAATTTTAAAATAATTATTAGTTTCATGCAACTACTACGGAAATAAAAATTATTCAATACTCATAGTAAGAAGTCGATACTGCTAGGTCAACCAACCAACTTAAATTCTACTAATAACAAACCCATCTAATCACTATTATTTTGAACAAGACCCGATGCACTCCTCTATTTCAACCAACAAACATTAATTCAACTGATAGCATCCTTATCTTTATCACCCTCACTTCAAACATTTGACTGATTGATGCATTCCACCGATGCAACTAACCAACTTCAATTCTACTACATCACCATAATTTTGAACAATAGAACCAATCGTAGCATTCCTCTACTTCAATCAACCAACGTGAATTCTAATAATAACATCCCCTTCTATATCACCATCAATTCGAACAATACACAATACATATATTGCTTCGTTTCAACCAACTATGTTGAATTGTACAAATAGGTAAATACATATCACTCAATACTTATGTATTTACATAGCTAACCCCTACACTTCAAATTTGATGAAGATTTCATAAATGCTGCCCCATAGTTATGCATATACATAGCTAACTCCTAAGCTTCATTTTTTATGACGATATTAATACATACCACTCAATTCTTATGTATGAATACCTAACTCCTATACTTCAACTCTTACATACATACCACATACATAACACCAAAACTTTAACTTTTAAATACATACCACATTTACATAACTAAATAAAAATTTAAATAACAAAGATTTAAATGCACAAATGGAATTACCTGCCAAAATGTTTTCTGATTGAAGTGAAACAGAAGGATGAGAACTATGGGAGTTACGATGGTCTCTATAATATGAGTGCCATCGTCACCTTCCCAGCTAAGTTAGCTTCTAATGGCAACTGTATCGTAAATTGTCATTCGGGAAGGCGATGGCTTTGAGTGAAGCCAAGAGAGAGAGAGAGAGAGAGAGAGAGAGAGAGAGGAGAGGTAAAGTGGAGAGCGAGGGATTCGAGTAGACGAGAGGACTACAGAGTGCGAAGTGAATGAACGAAATTTAGGTTTTGGTAATGAGAATCTTAGTTTGACTCTAACAGTAAAGGTTTTGCGTTGATTAGCTTGATATAAAATCCGTCTTTACTCTAAACAAAGTTTCAGCATTTTTAAAGCGCTTTTACATCAAATTTTCGGACATAAATTGAACGCTAAATCTGACGCAATTATCAAAATTTATTATTCTCCACTTGGCGTTTGCAAATCCAACGTTAATATTTGCATCAAAAAATTTTGACAAATTCATACGCTAATAATGATTTCTTCTATACTTAATGGAATGCTCGTAATTGAGTGTAGTCAGGTGCATGCTCCTCCCATCCTCATTCACAGTTAGTACCTGATAGTGGATACTTGGCTGACAGCTTGATAGGTCAATCTGACTGGTCAACTCGACACCTGATACTTGACACTTGAGTTTGGCTGGTCAACTTGATAGTTGATACTTCAACAACTAAGCTAACTAGATCCACCTATCAATCATACATACTGCAATAGCTGAGTTGGCAGGTCAACTGAGACAAAATGGTCTGTGGAGGCCCCTTGGGTATGGTATCATCTTCTAAGGCCTATGATGAGTGATGACTTCTTATTTATGTGCCCTTTTATTATGATAAATTATATTTATAAAATTAGACTCAATAAAGAATTTGCATAGTTTAAAATAAAAAAGTAAAAATAATGAATATTAAATATTTTTTGAAAATATTTCTCTTAACTTTATAAAATCAATATATTAGTAATAAGCTATAATATAAATAAATTAGTAAATAGTATAATCCCATTTCATTATTAAACTTTATGTTGAATAAAGTTAAAAATTACCCAACGAAGCATGTAGAGATATATATATATATTCATGGTCAAACACGTTCAGTTGTAGGCATAAGAAATAAAAAGTAATAATCTCTCTCTCTCTCTCTCTCTCTCTCCCTCTCCGTCTCTCTCTCCAGCTTTTGCCCTCCAGTTCATCCAGCTCATGAACCAATCCTCTAATGCAATTCAAATTTCCAACTTTTTCTGCCTTAGATTAAATAATCTCCACACATAATTACTTAAAATCACTTAATTGAATGTTAGTTTGGTCCAAACTCCGACACCTGGTTTTATTTCCAACCATCCATCCATCTCCCTCCTCTCTTTCATCCCCCCCTCCCCTCTGTCCCTCTCATTCCGTTCCTAGAAGAAGAACCGAGAAGAACGGAAGAGAGGGAATTCGCTATGGGGAATGTGACGTCGACGGTGGCGGCGAAATTCGCGTTTTTTCCGCCGGAGCCGGCGACTTACGCGGTGTTTAGGGATGGAGGAGGGACGGGGAGGCTTTTCTTCTCGGGGGTCTCGGCGGACAAGAACATGGAGGTGCATTTGATCGAGACCAAGACCGGGAACAAGATAGTTGCTACGTTTTGGCGGCATCCTTACGCCCGATTCACGCTTCTGTATTCCCATGGCAATGCGGCTGATCTCGGACAGATGCTTGATTTGTTCATTGAGCTTCGGGCTCACCTCAGAGTTAACATCATGTGGTGCGTGGTTTTTGCAAATTTTCATTTCGTCTCTTGATTTCGATAATATTTTGGGGTTTTTTGGTTATGATTTGATGGATTTTGATGTTCGGGGTTTTCTTTTGGGTTTCTTTCTGTGATATGACGAGTGTAGGGGTTTGATTCGGTTGGAAATAGCAGATTTATGAGAAAATGGGGCATTATTTCATCATCTAAATTCGGGTAACTTTTTATTGAGTTTTCGGTTTGCAGATCTCAAAAATCTACTAGCATCTGTTTATGTTCAATGTTTTTTTTTTTTTGCACTTTTATTTACTAAAATTCATTTTGATTTCTAGAGAATTTTTCTTTAAATTGTCAAAATAGATGGGCAATGTCATAGACGTAAGTGGTTTTGGTTTCCATAATATGGCTCACATGGCTTCAATTTTAAAAAAAAACATTTTTGGATTTTTTTTAAATTTTCTGTTTTGTTCAAGTGGTGACGTTTTTATAGTGGCTAATGTTATTAGAAGATCAGAGTAGGTGTTTATTTTAGTTGGAATTTGTGCAGTGATCGTGTCATTTTCTTTATCTTTTTATTTTTTTAATTTTTTTGCAGTTACGATTACTCTGGATATGGAGCCTCGTCTGGAAAGGTAAGCATATTTACTATAGCTGAAATGAAACAAATTTGGTTCTAAATCTTGCTTCTGCTGAACGTAGTTTTAGATTTTGAACCTCCTGGTGTAATATTGTAAACTTTTTGTGAAGTTTATGCTTATACGTGATGAAGTTTAATAACAATGACCTTCTTGCCTGCAACTTGAATTGCTTCATAGCCACTAAAAAAAAAAAAAAAGAAAAAAAAAAGGAAGTCTTTTCATGGTCGTGAATACAATTGGTTCGAATCTATGTTCAGGAGAGCATTGTTCTAAATCACCTTGTATTTTAAGTTCAAACTTGATTGCCAAATTTCAGAAATGGAGTGAGATATTTAGCCTAGGTGGTGTTTGGTAGCGTAATATTAATGGGATTTAGCCATGGATTTAACTTAAATCTAGTTAAACACCCAAAAAATGAAACTTAAATCCAACGCTTTGATCTCATCTTCTGTCTTTTTGTTCTCACGTTCCGTCTCATTTACAAAGTAAATTCAGATCTACTAAATCCGATTGAGAGGCTGATTTATTCCTTTGTAGCTCGCGAGGTCCATCTCCGCCGCACGCTAGATTTGATCAACCGCATTTACTGGATTTGACTAATTCTATTTAACGTAATCCTAATTTGCAGCAAAACACCCTCTTGGTGAGTTAAGATGAGATTTATGAGATGGTTTATTGTTTAGTGTGCTCTATTAGTGATTATAAGCATTAGCGAGAAAGAAATCCAGATTACCAAGAGGAAAAAAAGTTTTGAAGATTTTGTCACTGAATTTTCTGTAAAATTTATAATTTGGTTCATGCTTTCATAAATATTATGATTCATAGTTCATTTTGTTGTTTGGCTTGAGGTGATGAATCATGAATGCAATTCTGCAGCTTTTACTGCTAGCCCTTATCAGCTTTTGCCTTTTTCGTAGAAGATCACTTTGTTTGTCATGTCATCTTTGCTGGTTATTCTTTTCCGGACGTCTGTGGATCAGTTGCTGTCTTTTTTATAACAATGATGCTATTTTATGTCCAATGCATATAATTGGTATTTTTGTGCAAATAAAAATTTTAGCATGCATAAAAAGTTTGATGATTTAGTTTTTTATTGGAATACTGCAGCAAATTTTTCTTGCGGTAAAATATTCACAATATATAGCTGAATATATTCTTTAAATGCGAATATGAGAATTTTTTGTGTATTTGGTTTTAGAATAAATATATTTAAGTGATTTCTTATTGACTTTGAGAGATTCTGTGATATCTCTTATTGTCGAGAGGTCTTGTGGTACTGTGTCCATCATAAATAGAATCTTTGAAGAAAATATTTGCATCTCAGAATTATGAGCAAATAAAAAGAAAAAGGGAGTAAAAGGGGAGCAGTGTTGTCTACGAGAGAACAAAGAGATGATGTGGTACCATAAAAAAATTTCTCTTTTAGTTGAAGATTGTGGTAATTGTGGAGCCAAATTTTCTTATCGTAAAAAGTCAACAAGATATTAGTGAGCATACTCTTTAGATGCAAATCTTTGGTTAAATCATTTTTGTTGTCTATGAAAATATTTTGTAATTCTTGTGTTAATATAAATGCCTTGAAGAGATTATTTATTTATTTTGAGAGATCTAATGAGACCTTTTATTAATAGCTGGTTGTATTTGCTTTTAGTTAGTGATATTGATAAAGTGATATATATATCATTATCTCCAACTTTATATGGAGCATAGCATCTTATTTGAAATTTAGTCGACCATTCAATTTCTATGCAGTCATGAGCGTAGATGGATCTTACTAAAACATATAAACTTTATAAGCCCGTGTATTTAGTTTCTCATGTTCTTGTGTTTTGTTCAATACTATTGACCTGACAATTTTAAATAGCTAGACTTTTTAGGATTGTGATAACTTGTTTGTATATGCCTTGTTGATGTTTGTGGAATTTTTTATAAGAAGTTATTTGCTTGGAAATCTCACCTAATAAAGAAGTAAATAAGAAATATTTTGAAGAAGCAAGCCAAACTAAATGATTTATGCTGAATTGTTGACAATGAGAAAAAGATTGAAATGGCCGCATTATTATTTTTAAGTGGCCATTTTAACGTCAGACTAATTGAAATGTCTGATTTAGTTCCTAGATTTCTTAAACAGGGATCAAAATAGATCTGCCATCTAAAATAGCGAAAGTTAAATTTAATGGAGTTAAAAATGAAGGCCTTTTAGTAAGAATATATCCTCTTATTCAAATTTTTTTAATAAATATAATATTCTACTTGCCTCTATAGTTATCAATAACTCATCCATCAGTGCTAAATATATATTACTGGAGTTTTTCTTCAACTAGATCAAGAAGTTGATCTCTTCATGTTAACCTTGGATATTCTGGATAAAATCACAAACTTTTCATTAAGGTAACATTCACCATTTTAATCTATCAAGCTAGTTCTTTAATTTGGTGGAGGCTCCATGGGAGCTACTTCGAATGTCTCCTATTCTGATTTGAATGGTTATGTTAAACAAGTATGATTGAGGAAACCTTCAAAACCAGTAAAAATAGAACCATCTCTAGTGGCTTGTGGTATGTTAAGCCTTGGTAATGCTGAAGCAGCTAGATAAGCTTCAGAAGCATAAAATTCAAAGATAATTGAAGGTTGCTAAAAATTGAGACATTGAATCTTATGAGTTTAAAAAGATCTGAGGATCACTTTGTGCACTTTACTTTTAACTAATGTGTAGGGATAAATCTTTCTAGAAGGCAAACCTAAGAAGCAAATCTTGATAGGATGCTACCATGCTCGTGGAAGTCAAGTTTAAGAGGCGAAACTCGATGGGAAGATCCGGTACCCGTGGAAGTTGAGTCTAGGAGGCAAGACTCGATGAGAAGCTACGGTGCTCCAAGTAATCAAGCCCAGGAGGCAAGACTCGAAGAAAAGTTACCATGTCCCGTGAAAGTTGAGTCCACGAGGTAAGACTCGATGAAAAGATACGGTGTTCTTGAAAAACGAGCCCAAGAGGCAAGTCTCGATGGAGAACTAGTGGTAGACAAGTTTATCACTAAAAAACTCCATGAGAGCAAGTGGTTGACAGAGTCCCCACTCAAAGACTTCAGAAGGCTACAAGCCTCATAAGACATAGGTACATCAAATACCTCAGAAGATACATGTACATCAAAGACCACAGAAAGCTACAAACTTCAGAAGATAGTGAAACATCAAAGACCTCAGAAGACTACAAGTCTCAAAAGACATTTATACATTAAAGGCCCCATAAAGCTACAAGCATAAGAAGACACAGGTACATAAAAAACCTCAGAAGACTATGAGCCTTAGAAGACATCGATTAATTTCAAGCTCCTATAAGGTATAAGTCTGAGAGAGCACAACCTCGGAAGGCACGAGCCTCAAAAGGTACGCGATTCTTCATTTTATAAAGTGTGTGTGCTAACGTTAATTGCAAAATTTTGTACGGTTGAAAAGCCATTGCAGTCTCAGAAGTAACGTCAAAGGCGTACATAGAAATACATTATCTTCTACAAATATCACATCAGATAATTGAAAAGCTATAAAAACCAACAAGAACTAATACAAAGGTTAAAAGAGATATTGTTACTATAGAAGCATGAAATTCTCCCACTCAAACCACGACGGAAAAAATTGACATTTCTTCATCTTCGTCGTAAATGTGCAGCAGCAACAAGCAAGAAGATCCCGAGTCACCTGCTAAGCAGGGACTGAGATCACTTTCTTCATCTCACTGATGTAAAAGATCTTGTTGCTTCTCTGCTACGTAGAATGAGAACAACTTTCTGCTGCACAACAACATAAAAGGAGATCTCGTTATTCGTTTGCTACGCAAGACGTGAATGAATTTCCACTTCTTCGTAACGAGAAAAAAAATTCCGTTGCTTGTCTGTTATATAGAACAGAGACAACTTTCCTCTTTAACACAATGTGAAAGAAGATCCCTTTGCTCGCTTGCTATACAGGATAGAGATGACTATCATCTTCACCGCAATGAGAAAGAAGATCTCATTGCTCGCCTGTTATGCAATACGGGGACAACTATCTTCTTCGCCGCAACATGAAAGAAAATCCTGTTACTCGCCTGCTACGCATGACGGAGACGACTTTCCTCTTGGCCGCAACGCGAAAGAAGATCTGTCACTCACCTGCTACGCAGGACTGTGACAACTTTCTTCTCTTAGGAAATCCCAGATCACCTGCTAGTGAGGGTTGAGGACTCCACTTTCTCTCTCCTCTCCTTGGTCTTTATTTGTAGGCTTGAGATGAGTCATAACATTAAAAACAATTGAATTAAAAAAAAAAAACCTAAAGCTGTCGTAATTCTCTTATCGTTTGGTCTCCTGTCTTCCATTTTTTGGCTTTCCATCTTCTAGCCTTTGGTATTCCACCCTATAAAAAAAAACTGAAAAGTCACAATTCTTCATTAATTTTTATATTAATACTTATGAGATTGTAATGTTTTCTAAATATATATTATAAAAAAAATGAAATCTATCATAATTCTCTTGTTGTTTGGCTTTCGGCCTTCCATTCTTTGGCTTTCCGCCTTTTAGTCTTTGGTATTCAACCTTATAAAAAAATGAAAAGTTAGAAATCCTCATTAACTTTTATATTAATATTCATGAGGCTGTAACGTTTGATAAATATGTGTTTTAAAAAAAAAACTGAAATCCAATTAAATTCTTTTATCATTTGATCTTTTCGCCTTCCTTATTCCAAATAAAAAAAAATCTGTTCAAATTCCCACATTTTAGCCTCTCAAATACTTTTAAAATAATAATAATAAAAAAGCTATTTTTTTACACACACACACAGACAGATACATATATACATATATTTTATATATACAGATATGTATATACATATATCGATATATACAGATATGTATATATATATATATGCGTGCATATATGTATGTATATATATGTCTATATATATCTGAACATATGTATATATACGTATGTATATATAGGTATATACATATATCTATATACATACACACATACCTATACATATATATATATATATATATATCTATTGTGTGTGTGTGTGTGTGTGTGGGGGCATGCACGCACACACACACACACATATACATATATAGATGTCTACTCAAATTTCATCAAGTTCGGCTAAATCTGATCTAAACTCGACAGTTCAGATTCTTAAACCCCGATGTTAAAACTCTCTCACACTCGTCTCTTCAACTTCGGGCATGCGGTAAAAAGAAAATTTAATTTTTTGTCCCGCGCGGAGATCAAACCGGCCACCCGTTGTGTGAAAAAAAAAGACTCTAACAACTGAGTTTCGCTTATTTGCTTCAACATATAGAGGTTTATATTATTATTATATAAATTATCATAGTAATATAATATATACTCATTTGCATATATATATACACGACAAAAAGGAAAAGACATTAGATCTTAATTTTTTCGGTCGACAAAGTGATCTCACCCGAAAATAGGAGGGCAACTAATACATCTCCAACAAATCTCCATCATCCGACACAAATCTCGAGGCTTGATATAGATCTCAAGACAAACTTTTGAGCAAGAAATATTCAAACCTCGATAAAAATTCATCTAGAAATTCGATTTCAACAAACTTATAGTCAAACTGCCGACTCGAGAAGAAGAATCCAATGTTACCAAAATTATTTCAATTCAAGTCAAATCAAACTCAGATCAAGTCATTAAACTATTATTGAAAGTTTTTCAGACATATTTAGAAGGTTAAACGAATGTCAAATCTAGCAAACTTATAACCTAATCTAATGTCTCGACAAGACGAATCCAATGAACCCATGATTGCTGAATTCTGACATCGTTCAAACGTCATCTGATCGAAGGACGTCATTCGAACCGTCTGATCAAAGTGGTTCATATTTCTACATTTATTGCACCAATAACACTATAAATAGAGCCCCACCCCTCTTATGAGAGAAGGTTGAAGGCTTGAGAAAGAACTTAATGCTTCGAGAATGAGCTGAAATCCAACACGCCCTGTCACCGTCGATCACTGTCTGCCGCCGTCGATCGCTGTCGGCTGCCCAATGGGCCCTGTTGACCGCCGCCACCGCCGTCGATCTCCGTCGACCACTGCTAACCATCGCCGACAACCATCAACCATCATCGAGCACTACGATCGTCGTCAACCATTACTGACTATCGTCGACCGTTGACCATCGTTGATTACCACCCAGCGGAAGCAGCCGGTCGATGTTATAACTCAAAAAACCTAATAACCCTTTCTCGTTTATGGGACAAGGGGTCTCTATAATCATCGACCTATAGTGTATTTTTACATCTGGGATAGACCCGTGATTTTTTTTCTTTATGGGTTTTCCACGTAAAAACTTATGGTGTCATTACTAGTTGTTTTCTTTAACCCGAGTGTGTGATGAATTCTCGTGCAACACTAAAATGATAATCTATTACTCTACCGCCACAAACTTTCTAGCACACATAAAAAATAATTACAATGGCTATCAAAAAAGTTACTTTAAGAGCAATGCTTATGAAATTTTTTGTATCTGAGAATGAATAAATTTGAGTTCAATAGAATACCTCATTCTTAAGGAGAGTAATTAAATTTACTAAAAATTTAAGGAAAAAATATATTATTTAAAATCTTTTTATTTTTAACACCAGTAATTTCAATTTTATTACCTTAGATGAGAAGATAATTTTGGTCGACGACTAAAAAAATTTAGGGCAAAATTGAGTTTTATAAGCAGCCCCTTATTAATATTTGATGAATCATTTTTTTTCTTTTTCTCTGTTGAAATTGTATCTCTAACTCTTTGCTTGCTCCCCTCTACATACAAATGGTATATCGTTTCTTGTCAGTCAGTACATAACCATTTTTCGATAATTACTTTTCTAAATGCTTCTTTGATTTTTTTATTTTGTGGTCACTACTCTTCAAAAGCCGTCAGAATTCAACACATATAATGACATTGAAGCAGTTTATGAATGCTTGAAGAGGGAGTATGGGATAGTGCAGGAAGAACTTATATTGTATGGCCAATCTGTTGGTAGTGGTCCAACACTGCATTTAGCTGCACGCCTGCCAGGACTGAGAGGTGTAGTCCTGCACAGCGCGATCTTGTCTGGGATAAGGGTCTTATATCCTGTGAAGATGACCTTCTGGTTTGACATTTTTAAGGTGAATTTCAAAATTCAAGTCATTCAAATAGTGAAACGGCCATTTAGCATTTCCCCACTTTTAGAAGGTTTTTTTTAAAATTTTATGATGTTTAGTATATATTTTATTTGACTTTTATCACAGAATATTGACAGAATCCGGCTTGTCAACTGTCCTGTTCTTGTAATACATGTGAGTCTCTCCTCCATTTTGCATTTTGTACAGAGTTTTTTAAATTAAAAATCATGAAAGTCTGGTTATACTGTATTCTATCTTTTTTAACTGGCTTTACCATCTCATAGTCATAATCATACCATTACTTTGAATCTGTGATCACACACCTCCCATGATTCAAAGTAGCAAAATGGTTGCTTTGGCATTTCATAAAAAATGTTTTATGTAAGTATGTATTATGTACGATAATATTGCTTAGAAATTGTGGATACCAGATGTTTGTTGCTTAAACTGAATTTAAGCTTGTAGGTTATTTGAATGTTCTGAAGTTTGGCTTAATTGACAGAGTGGCCTATGTAAAAATATTTAGAAACCAAATGCCAGTCACAAGCATTAGTTTGGATTTGTGCTTCCAAATCTCCAACTGTTTGTTAGAACTCTGGGCATCGATTTCACCACTTCTTTTTGACTTGAAATCCAATCCGTGAACTATGAGAAGCATTGGAATGTAGACAAGCATACTTTTATGTTGTTTAGCCTGTATATTTATAAATCGTTCAATAGTACATGATAATTTTTGATGATTTGCATCCTCTATTTATATTTATATATATTTTAACTTTATTTTAATGTTATCTTTCATAATTGAGACTAAATTGTTTTGTAACATACTGTGGAGAACAAATTCACGTAATAGACAAACAACAAAACGTATGACTTACGTGGTACCACATAAATCTGCCTACGTCGATAGGAAGATATTATTCCACTATCAACAAAATTAGGATGATAACTTTGTTATGAAAAATGACGGCAATAAAGCGAAAAACAGATAAAAAATTACACCAGAAAAATTCGACACAAGATTTACGTGGTTCGGCAAATTGCCTACGTCCACGGAGCTGCAGCGGATTTTATTAGCTTCAAGGAAATTACGTCGTTGTCGATTCGACGATTACAAGAAAATAATTCTTTCTAGTTTCTTTTTCTCTCCCTTGCCTTTCTCTCTCTCTTCTCTCTAAAGCCACTTGAGAAAGGACAAAACAAAAAAAAAAAACAAACTTTCTTTTATGCCAAAGAACTGAAGGAAGGGGAAACAAAGAAGCAACTTTTCGTCCCCTGCCCCTACCTCCAAGTGATAGAAGAAAAACCAAAGGAGGTGGTTTTTAGGATGATTATAACATGCATAATTTCTTCCTATAATAAGAAAATATGGCTTATTTCGGAAACCAGAGAGGCGGGAAGCTTCCCATGGTTCCACGTGCGACACAGAGTCGGTTTCCACGATTTCGCATGTGATGCAGAGAATAGGGTAGGACGCGGTTTCGCATGAGGGGTGACGAGCGGAGAGGGAGAAGTCGGAATAGGCTCCATATTAAACAATTCTCCCACTTAGAGATTCAGACACTGACTGCACTACCTACTGGCTGCATCATCTACTGGTTGTATGATATCCTCCACCTCTGTAACTCAAAGCCTTTATCTTCACGTTACAAGTCCAATTGAAGTCGAGCACAACTTCAGTTTCTCAAGTGTAACACCCTTGGTCAACATATCAACAGGATTCTTGCTTCCACAAATTTTCTCAAGTAGTAACTGTCCGTCATCTAACAATGATCGAATAAAGTGATACCTGATCTGAATGTGCTTGGTCCTAGATTGAAATGCTGGATTTCTAGCTAGGAATATGGCGCTTTGGCTATCACTGTAGAGAGTGCCTTTCTGAACCTCTTTACCTAATTCCGCTAGGAAACTTTGCAACCATATCATCTCCTTAGCAGCCTCTGACACTGCAACATACTCAGCCTCTATAGTAGACAAAGAAACTGTCTTCTGTAGATTAGAGCCCCATGACACTGCAGTACCGCCAAGAGTATAAACATAACCTGTAGTACTCTTCCTACTGCCAATGTCTCCAGCTAAATCTGCATCAACATAACCCTGTACCTCTAGGCTCTTACCTGAGAAACACAAACAGGTTTCTGAAGAGCCTTTTAGGTATCTCAAAATCCACTTCACAGCTTCCCAATGTTCCTTCCCTGGATTACTCATGTATCTGCTCACAACTCCCACTGCATGGGCAATATCCG